GCATGAATAAATTCGCTACAATCGGAGAAACTGGTGAGCCCATTGCTATACCCTCTTTCTGTCTGTAAAGTTGACCTCGAAATATGAATAAGGTGGATCTTAAACATAATTCTAAGCATTTTATAACCTCTGATGGATCTAATGGGCATCGTAAATTCAAATCTAAATCAGATTCTAAACAATCATTGATAATATCTATAGCTTGACTGATAGGTACATTAGCGAATAAGGAAGATACATCAAAACTTGCCATTATTTCGTCTTCTTCTATATCGATGGTATCAATTAAATTCTTGAATTCCATAGAGTTTTTAATTCCATGATTAATCCGTTTTTCATATGGTTTGAGAATCTTAGCTAAATATTTAGCTAGATTGTAAGTCGGTGAATTTGTATAGTCTACCACTGGTCTAAGTGGAGTATTATTCTTGTGGATCTTTGGTAGTCCATAAAATCTGCATGGATTACAACTCTTTGGATATAACATAAACCATAAGGGCGATCCTAGCTTAGCTTTTAATGACTGTAAGAGTTTGCTAGTTTCTGCCTTGAGTTTATTAAGAGTCGTTCTACTTTTTGTTTCTTTGATTTGTTCATATGGACCCTCTTGTAGATGTTCCTTGGCTTTCTTCTTATACTCTGTTTTATCTATGATAACTGTAGTATTACCTTTATCTGCTCTCGTTATTATGATCGTTTTGTCCTCCCTCAGCTGTTTTAATGCGTAATATTCATTTTTCTTTGTGTTAGGGTTGTGAGGTTTCTGATGTAATAATGTGTTCATTATTTTATTCCTCAGTTCATTCGCTGTATCATTCGGGAGTATATTCAACGCTGGTTTTATTGTTGGTATAATATTAAAAAGTGTTAATTTATGTCTATTTATATTGAAGTTGAGACCCTTTTTAAGTAATGATATTTCATGTGTGTTGAGAGGTCTATCCGATAAATTAACAATTATTTTATTCATATCATGTGTGTTAGACCTATTTTCGGTCTGCTGAACTTTGGTGTTTGATGAATGTTTCAATAGTTTTTCAAACTTCTTAATTTGTCGTTGTTTTGATGATTGATAATAAAATTTTTCTCTGTGTTTGAAAAATTCAAGTATATCTGATCTTATTTCGTTTGGTACGATAACTGACAATATGTCATCTATATTACAAACCCTTGGACGTATGGCCTCCAAATTCATAGTGGCCTTGTGTATACGTTCTCTAATAAATGTTCTAGTGGCTGATATCGCCGCTTTGATTGACCGAATAGAATTGTCCGGAGATTTGACCATCAGAGATTTTGGAAAAACATTTTGTTTTAAGCATCGTATATTAAAAATTCTGTGATTGTACCAGTTGTGTATTTTTCAAATATAATTTTACATTTAATGACTTCTCTATACTCGGCGCTCAATTACTGTCAAACTATTCGTTCTAATCTTGACGAATATTCGTATAAATCTAACATTAAACAGTTTGTTTTTTCTTTTATTACTTGATATCGGATTGTAAATGTCCTGTATAACTAATTGTTCTTTAATACTCTTGGTATATGTTAATTGACCTGAAACACGACCTAAAGAAGTTAAGAATGAGAATCTGGAATCTCGAGTGAATCATTATTTACCATGACAACACTATGTCATAGTGAGAGCTATTACTGAGCTATTTTGATTATAATATCTTTGACTATATAACTGGTTGATGTTACTCCAAATATCAAGCGAAGCATTAAATCTTACAGCAGTACGAGTAAACTTTGATAAGAACACCCTATGTCGCAATAAATATAGGTCCATGACTTCCGCTTAACCACATCTAACCACGAGGCAACAGAATATACTACACATATCATCCAGTAACTTTAGTCAGAGTAATGAGTAGAAATGATATGAAATATAGCTTGAAAAAGAGATACACCCAAACGTGACTAAGAGAAATCAAAGACGACAATTATTAGATATATGGCCGTTTAAGGCCAGACATCACTAGATATCTAACTTTCACCTGATCACGACAGTATAAGAAGAGCATATGATCACAACATTCCAAGAGAATTTCTAAAGTTATTGCCATTTAGCCTTTCTTATTTTGTATAGAATTAAAGAACTTTGTCAAAAAGGAAAGTTCGAATTTGTTCTAAATAGTATTACAATTTATTTTATACAATAATTATTAAATACGAATGTATCATTTCAACCAATTATTAGATAGAGCTTGTGGCGATTGTTGAATTTCATAGTTAACAACAAATACTGGCCTCAATTAAAACACTATTGAGAACCTGAAAGTACTAGACAACAGTTTTGCTCTAGGTGGGACTCCTCAACAATGAACATCCAAAACCCTGCTCATGGGTTTCGAACCCAAGGCTTTGGGTCGCGCACCAATCACTAACCTCTATACCAGTGATCTGGGATCAAGCTAGACAGTAACACTATTAGATCCCGCCCGGTTCAGTGGTCTAGATATCAAGCGTTTGTTCAGGACAGAAGGTTGTGCGTTCGAGTCCCAAGAGCGGGACCGTGGATACACACAGTTGAGGAATCTGATACTAGAACGGAACAGCCGTTTATTGCTTTCAGGTTTTTAATAGTGGTTAAGCACTGATTGTTTCGTCATCTTACATAAAACTCAATAATCTCTACAACCCTATACTGATAAAAATAATTTGATTTGCATTTCTTTATGTATAAACTGTGATTATCAGTGTTTATTATCTTCATTTAACTAACGTCCAAGGATTGAATTCATGTTTCTTTTCTTAAGTTATCTATTTACTGATGATAATGAATATTGATATCAATCATGTATCTCATGGGAATACAATTCAATGTTACTGTATCTCAGTAAATTACATTATAATTCAAAGTTACTAAAAAGAAAACAAACGAATTTCTAAACACCTTAAATTTATAAGGTTAAACATTGGAATTTTATTTACATTGAGTGACGGATGTTTATCAATAATTAAGATGATGATATTGTAATAATTATTAAATACTTATCAGGGATAGATTCATGTACTTGGCTTAAAGTCATATTTCAAGTATGAGGGTTATTGATACTAATAATTTTTTCGAACAAAAATGAGATGAAACGGTGTTCAAACCTGTAACTTAATGACTGGAAGTCGAATGGGTTAATCACTGAGCTACCGCCTTACAAGTAAAGTCAACTGGTAAACTATTGAAAATCAGAAAACACTGGAAAGTTGTTTAACTTCTTTCAGTAATTCACACTGATGATCTGACAAATAATAGAATACATTATATGTATTCCTTGTAGAGTTAGAATTACTATGAAAATCCTCTTATATTCTTTCGAACCCTAGCCTCTAGGTGCTAAAATGGTCCAGGGGTGGCAACGTATAAACACTATTTAAATTTTTTATTCCTTTTTGGAAACATCTTACAAAACGTTGAGTTATGCAAAAATATTCTATCGATTTCTAAGGCCATCTAAATGCTTATTAGACTATTTTCTTAGTTTAGATGATTTCTTTCTCATAGAGACTATTGTAAGCTCTATTTTTTATGACACTACGCTATCGTAAAACTGTCAATGTAAATTTGTTGTTGAACCACTTTATTCACGTTTGATTCATTTGATAATCAGTAGTATGTTGTACATGAAACAATAAATCGAAATTTGATGGTCTGTTTATTAGTTTATTATATTGGATAGACTGTTTCTAGGTTAACTACTTTGTTTTTTAACGGTTTTTAACCTTATCCATACGATTAAAAGTTTTACAAAACCTTCATATGATTTAATTATAAAACATTCTACTTATGCATCCGTTTTAGTATTCATCAACTTAAACACAAGTAAACCAAGGCCTTTATATAAGACGTGGAATAAGCTTGAGTTCAATCAATTACTTAGAATCTACTAAATCACAGTATTAATAGTTTGAGTTTGTCTTCATTACCCTTTTGATTGACTTTTGTGATCAAGTTTCTTCGAAAAATATAAGACTTTTTAATTAATTTGAGGTGTTTTAATTTCAGTTGAGATCTTGCTGGAAACCAGAAAGCACTAAACAAATATTTCACTATAGTATGACACTCCTTAAGGGTGTGGATCCACATCTTCTCTCTAATAATCAAACTCTAGTCATTCTTGACTTGTGGCAAGTGCCTAACACTTTGATATCAAAACTTTAAGTTTGATTTATGATAGAGTAGTGGGTGAGCTTGTTTGAGTCATATACTAATATAAACCGTCCAGTTTTATTAAGTTTTCAGTTTGTTAATCGTATGATGACAATTCATAACGGGAACTATTTTCATAAAACAATAAGTTATTGTAATCACTGAGTACATTGTACTGCAAAATCTTATCTTCGACTTTTCTAATTCAACCATTTAAATTGTAACGGGCCACATGTTCCTATGTTCTATAGTAATACTCGTTTATTATTGCCTTTATTCAATATTATATTTTTGGTACAAGACAAAATTCTCCTCACAAAGTATTTCAAAAAAGTATTCCTTAAGTCTTAATCGAATCTTGTGATAAATATTAAGTGAATGCCAGTTAGAAGTTAGCAGTCCAGTCAATCGACATCTGATTCATGTACATATTCTTTTTTATACATATTGCCAGCAACCACAATGTCTCTAATCGGGCTCTTTTATAACTTGTACAACGAAATGTCGTTAACTTTTCACAAACGTACCTGAATAGGTTGTGCAATCAATAGACATAATGATGTGTTGAAACAAACAAGAAAACAGATAACTTGTTCAAATATCCAAATGGTAGGAACCAGTAGCCCAGATATTCAAACAGGCTGCCTTCGATGACATAATACTAGATGTTCATTTATATATTTCTTTATAAAAACAATCTAATTCAACCATAAACATTTTTGTTTTAAGGATTTATAATAGGTGGGGAAAATTTCTTCAGTATTCAATTATAATGATTGGTTAACCAATCAAAATCAACTACATGGAGTATATATATCCATACATACATACGTGTTTATAAGATATTAATTAACAATACGTTTCAGTATTCTCACAATATTCAAAGATTTCTGAAGTATTCATCGTAAATATATAGTCGTTTTTCTAAAAAAAGAAGTATAAGTAATTTATCATTTACCAGTAAGTTATATTAATAACATTTAATTAATACATTTTTATCAGAAGGGGGTTTTGTAGATGTTATAGTAATTTCATTAGGTAAGGTCATGAGTCAGTGGTCTAGAGGTTAAGCGTCTGCGCATGAGACCGATAAGTCATGGGTTCAAATCCCTCTAGGCGGAATCGTGAATGTGCACTACTCAGGAGTCTCAAAATAGGACGAAACAGCCATGGTGATGGTCTAGTTTCAATTGACCCATGATTTCAAGTAATGAAGCAACACATTTTTGTTTATTAAGTTTTATAAAAAAAAGATTATGATACTCATCTTTATACTGTAAAAGTAATCTTTTAAGGTTCTATTTTTCAATGTTTATGATAAACTTATACCTATTGGAAGATTTCTCTATGATAAATATAAACAAACAGTCTTAAATAACCAACCTAGAAGTATTTTATTCTGTTTTATTCTATTGTATATGAACACCTAAATATCTACTGAAACATAGTGAAGTATAAATCCCAATGATTAGACTATGTTGATAATTGAGATTCTTAACTGAAATTACTTTTGCTAGATTAATAGTAATGCATGAGATTCCCTTAAACACTAAAGTATTCTTGCTTGAAAAATAGTTCAATTTGCAATTTTGGTTAAATTTCTATATTAAAAACACGAAGTTCAATGAACGGATCTCTTCCCAACGAATTTATTATCAATCTTATTAAAATCGTTTATAAATGAAACTTTTTTGTTAAAGTACTAATTCCATGAGGAAATGTGAACAAGGAATAACCAAGATGACATAATAGAAAGATTATAATACTAGATTACGTAATATGAATAATAACAATAGATTTAGTGAATATAATATGATGATTAAAATGAATAGAAGTAGTTTTGACAGCGAATCTAGTTGTTCCATCCTAAAGAAAAACCTATTTATAAGTCTGGAATTTAAAGGGAATCGAACATCTGACGTAATCAAAAATTGTCTAACGACAGCGCTTAAATGAACATTTAATGCGGCAAAACTGTGAATAACCTTCACTAGTAGGGACTTATTTTCCGTATCCATAAAAGATAAGCTACCGCATCTGGTTGCTACCATGTGGATCTACCATTCTACCTGGTCTTGTGGAGCAAGGTACATTGGCCATATGCAGCGCTCGCTTTCAACTCGGATACGAGAACATGTTCCAGTTTAGTTCTACAAAGATGAAAGTTAAGCAGTTAGGAATTCTATACTTGAACACCTAATTGACTGTAATCATTCTTCGGATCCACGGTTTGATTTTAAGATTGTTCATATGATTCGTTCAAATCTACCTAGATTTCTTCGTAGCCAACTCTTAAAAATAGCCGAACCTCTTACCATCCATGAGCTCAAACTAGAAATATGCGTACAAAAGAAGTATGTCTTATCGTTATTGTTACCTTAGCCTTAATTATTATCATTATTATTACTGCATTCCCCTTTACTTACGTCTTATGTTCTCATTATTTTATTTATAAATGCTCATCATATCACCTTATTTCTCTTTACACCTCTATGACCTTTAATTATTATAACTAAAACATTTTAGTCATATTATTACATTCACTAAATCGATTGTTATTATTCATATTACGTAATCTAGTATTATAATCTTTCTATTATGTCATCTTGGTTATTCCTTGTTCACATTTCCTCATGGAATTAGTACTTTAACAAAATTCGTTGAAAAGAGATCCCTTCACTGAACTTGGTGTTTTTAATTTTTAATGTTTAATTGAGACTTATCTGTAAATTTTTATATCATTAAAATATCAGTTTTTACAAATAAATCAATTTAATAGTTGAATTCATTAGTCGATTAAAATTAGACTATTATGGAAACTTGAAAGTACTGGACAGATGTTTCGTCTTAGTGTAAGACTCTTCAACAATGTACACTCATGATCCTGCCAATAGATTTCTTTGAATGAAAATATGAATATTTTTAAGGTGATTACAAAAAAGATTCATTTGTGTTTTACTCAAAATTGCTTGCCATACACTTGAAGCATTATTTGATGTTAGATGATTATATATAATAGGCAGGTAACGTTGAACCTTAGTTTCGATATGGTTGATTCTTATTAGCAAAGATTTTCTGTAATCTTGATGGAACTGATAATTCTAGTGTTACAATGTATCATGGAGTGAGTACTACTGGACCATTCAGTTCTCGTAAAATCTGTAATTAGACGATAGAATGATTATTTTACGTGTGTTAAAACATTTACAGAATACCGAATGGTTTAAAGCTAATTCGTTTACAACTTAAGCGTATGTCAATATTTCATAAGGCGTAGAGAAAAGCAAATAATAGTACGAAAAAATTATATCACTATGTATATCTAAAAGAGACTAATTCAATGACAACTCATTGAACTAACCACTTTACTGGATGTTTCCTATTAGACATTGTTTATTTTATCATTATTTATCAATTGTGTAGATAGAAAGATCTAAAATAAGAATGAAACTATCACATGATTTTACTTGGTGTTGTTTACTTGTATCTTCCCATTGTAGTTTAGAACGGCAATGGATTAGTCTGTTATTGGCGTATATATGCATAGTGTCTGTATGTCTTGATATTGCCTGAAGTCACAAGCATTAGAAGCAAAGATGAATAGTGGCTAGTAGTGGAATCCAATTTGACGTGCGTTTCGTCCTATTTGAGACTCATCAGCCGAATGTACCTGCATCTCAGAGTTGATGTTCACTCCGTGACTCGATTCCATTACCATTCGTCTCAAACGCCATCGCGTTATCCATTTAGCTACTGAGTCCTGATAGCCACTTTTTTGTGCAATGGGGTGAAGTTATATTCATTTGTATCTTCCCATTGTTATTTAGGACTCTGATTGATCAGTCTCTTATTGGCATATATGTGCATACTGTGCGTATTGCCTCAATATTGCCTTAATTCACAAGCCTTATAAGCAAAGATGATTAGTATCTAGTAGTGGAATTCAGTTTGACGCGTGTTTCGTCCTATTTAGAACTTGTCAGGAGGAAACATGTATCGTGGATTCCACTACTAGCCCTTATCTATCTTTCACTATAGGATACTAATTTTGAAATAAACAAGTACAGAATAGAATTATTTAATTCAATGTTAGTTGAATGTATATTACAATAATCAAACAAAAATACAACTCTTTTCTCTCTTTTTACTTTAAACTAATCACTATAACTTTATTGAATCATATGTAATTCATTATTCTAATTATGGTTGAATAAATGTATTATAATTCAATGATTTATATCAGTCATTATGCTATGTATATATTCAATGTTAATATTACATACTTACTTGCTTACTTCTGTTACTTTTTCTAGTTGTTACTAATCATATTTATTTCTGAATAAGTAACATCGATGAGCTTTATGGTTGGTGAAAAAAAAGAAACATTCTTGAATATTTTATATTATTGATCAAATGTAATATGTTTGTTCATAGGGAAATCATGCATGTGATTTTAATAAGTGAATATATATATATATATATATATATATATATATATATATATATATATATATATATATATAGATAGATAGATAGATAGATAGATGCTATGCAAATAACTGACAGGTATTTGGAAGTAAACAATGTTTTTATTTTATGATGTAATGGAATATAAATATGTAGATAATGATCTTGATGAAAGGTTGGTAAAGATTTGTAAATTAATGAGATGATTTTGGTCTGATCAGATCAGTTCTATTGTCTTTATGGATAAGACTGTCTAAAACAAAACAAAACAAAACACAAGAAATAGCACAAACTAGTAACTATTTGGACTTAGTAGCTAAGTAGATAACGTGTTGATGTTTAATGTGAAAAGTTATGAGTTCGAGTTGTGGAGTGAACATCAACTCTAGGATATAGGTACATCCAGTTGACGAGTTCCAAATAGGATGAAATATGTGTCCTGGATTCCACTGCTAATCACTATCCATCTTTGTTTACAAATTAAGATTGTTCATAATTATCAAAATTAGGAATTGTGGAGATTGTAATAATTTAAAATTTGAATTCATGAGTCGATTTAAGCTAGTCCTTTGGTAACATTTACACATATAACAAAGAGACTTCGACTAGCAGTAAAATACTATACCATAAAGTGAAATGGTGAATAGTCGTTCTTCAAGAAAAGTGAAAGTAACACAGTCAGATATTTCATATTTTCCATTGGGATTTGACATTAATTCCTTAAAGTTCGACTTTACTATAGGATAATCGGAATAGCATATATAAGCGAACAATTTTGTTTCCAACTAGGTCCTTATAAAAGTTTATTCGAAAACATTATTCACTTATATCTATTGCTCTAATTCACAAAAATGAAAATTTTCAGTATAAGAAAATCGACTAAGAAAATAATGTTTTTAAGATAGTAGGATGAGATTATAATTTATGGACGACCTTTGAGCGAAACTAGACTGATGGTGAGAATGTCTACTTACTTACTAGGATCAAATGAGGGTTATAAAGTAGTCTGAAGAATAAGGATTATGATTTACAGTTGATAATTAAGGTTAGGAATTAGATTTCGGGTTTTCATCACGAACTGACATCAGCTATTATGCCAAAACTCTATTTATCCAAATGGATGAGTGAATTTCGCGCGAAAATCTGAGATCTGTTATCTTATACGTGACTGGTTCATCCATAAATTATAGTCTCGCCGATATTAGATATTTTCTATATATATCCTCAGAGATTCTTACACGATAAAATTAACAGATTATAATGAAATCATGAAACTAGTTTACAAGAACAATGAGAAATTTACTGGCACCTAGGCTTTGTAAATGCTTTAGTCCAATTAATAATAAATATTCTAAGAATGGTTTGAACTATTTTTTTCTGGTTAGCGTTTTTTTAGCGAGTTAGTTTTCTACGGAATGAAGTCGCTAACCCCGTGCCTGACTCTCCTCCTTCACTCGGAACTGAAACCGTCAGTAGCCCCAGAAGGGCTCAAG